ACACCAGGTGAATTGATTTATTCTTAAACTAAAAGGAACAAGCAATTGAGATATTTTTTTAACAAAATCATCAACCAACGTTATCATTGTAATGTGATTGCAAGAACTAGCGTAACAATATATAGGGAGAACGACTGTCAAGCGAAGGAATCCTTTCCCCCACCTTTCTCAATGTAAGTTCACAACTGGGTTTTGAGTCAGCTTGTGCGCACCGACTAATCCTTTAGTCGAACACGAATCAACTGAGGTTATTTATTGCAGGTGAATATCCATGACTATAAAACTGGACAAAACAGAACAAGTAAAATGAYCAATTTACCYCTAATGAGTTGTTTATTTTAATTAATTTATGTAATTTATTAAATTATAATAGAATAATTATTTTTTATAACAAAATATATCATTTGAAAGTTTTCATCACAACAATTAAAATGACACCAAATAAAAAGTTTATGTAGTTTCCAATTTTTATTTTTATATCTTTTCTACATTATTTTTTATTATTAATATATAGTAAATTACATAAACTAATAAAAATATAGAAACCATATAAAAATAATATTTAGAGGATAGTAAAATGAAAGTTTAAGAAACATAAAATACAATAAATAAAATTTAAAAAATGAACAAAATGTAAAAAAAAAAAGAAGACATGTTTGATGTTTTAGAAGAAAATTAAGTTTTATTTTGAGTTTGTATTGGTAAAATATAAGTCTGTTATACATTGTTCCACGTTGTTCTATGGGTGGAACAGGTCTGTTTCATTTTGTTCCATTCTGTTCCTGTCTGTTCCACATAAAAATCATGTTAAACATGAGACATAGATCTCTGTCCTGTTCTATCATGTCATGTCCACTGCACTAAATACACCTAAAGATTTTGATAATCTTTCATTTAAACCCACAAAAGATAAGATTTCTATTATATTACCTCAGAATTAACCATGCATTACGCCACAACTAAAGTGGTTGAGAAAATCTTATTTATTGTAGGAAATATTTGCTTAACAAAAACAAAAAACCTTTGACTGCTGTCCGCTAGCATGTAAAGAATGTAAAAATAGTGAACAAAAACTGTATAGTTGAAAATATAAAGATGATGTTTGATTGGTTTGAGCATGAGCTTTAAAGATCAATAGTACCTGGAGGTCTCATGTTCAAATCCAATGAAAAATAAAAATCCTCTTGTGGTCACGGAGGAGGTTTAAATACGGTGACTCCGAATTACCCGTAAAGCAGATGGTTGTCCTGTAATTAGTCGACTCGTATAACGGGTTGGATATCCAGGTTAATAAAAAAAATTGTATAGTTGAAATAATGGATAGGAGTAATGGTGGCCCATGCCACTATTAAAATTGTCTCTCGTAGAGTTGTACATGTAAAATCTTTTATGAACTTTAATGGTGTTACGAATATGATTCATTATGTATTACCATTACTTATCATTACCGGAAAATTGAGAGGTTAAAGTAGCATATCAAAACTTAAATTTAAGTTTAATGGTTTATTTTGTACTATAAGAGCTRGTTTAAATAAGAAAAGTAAAATATYATGACAAGGTAAGAAAAGAAGTTTCATACGTACGGTGGCAGACTTAGGGGCCGTTTACTAAACGYTTATTTGGTAAGTGTTTACYGRATAAATTTCCTCATCGGATGAACATGACAAGGGTCAARAATCTTACCGAGTAAGAACGATGAGAATGATGAAGAGTCTTACCCGGTAGGTGAAGATGACGACTCTTAACCAGGTAAGCGCTTACCTGGTAAATTGTTGCATTCAATACGTTCTGATGTGCTAAAATCTTAAAGCATCAAAATAAATAATAGTGTTAACTCAAATCGATAAGCACTTACTGGGTAAGCATATGGGTAAACAGCCGAAGGAGTGGGGGGAAGGAACCCCATTAAAAAATAACATTACAAGGGTTAAAAGTAGTTTTTTTTTACTTTTCTTTTAGTTCCCCCAGTAAATTTTTATAAGGGACCCCACAACCATAGCCGACCATCACCGACTCCAAAAAAATCTCTTGAAATCAACCAAAAAAAMMAAAAARKTTWWTKRAAWYMWACAAAAAAAAATCGAAAAAGTCATTCGRAATCGACAAAACCACTAAAAAATCTCTCAAAATCAACCAAATTTTTTTAAAAATCCCTTAAAACGTTGTAATTAGGTTAACGCGTTTGCGGACGTTTAGTCTATCTTAAAGGTGATCCCACTAGSCAARAAATTTGGATCCGCCACTGYATACGTGAACTGACTTTACAAATKATTCATGTAAATTCATATTCAAATGACCTTTTTCAATAATTCACATGTGAAACTTCAATCTTATTTCTCTTTAGCCTTCTTATCTAAACTTGTATTTGATAAGTGTAACTAAATTTTATTTTATGTCACTTGTTAAGTATAAAAATGTATACATTGGTTTATCAACCTAGATCTAATATTGTTTCAAATGCAATMATCAAGTATARCCGTGTTCAAAAGTARGGGSCSKTTWMCMAAMSSYT